GTAATTGCCCTATAAGCAGGGCATGGGTAAGTAATTGCATCTCAGTGCACTAATGTGAAAAGTCACGTACCCAGGGATATAAAGGATACATGAACAAAAAGTGGACTTTCAAGAGACTAAGAGAAGCACTAATTCTGAAAAGATAAGGATATTAGGGGGATATTCTGTTGAACAGGTGCTCTTAGTGTATCATTGATGAAAGGATGATATAGGCAGGAAAATAATAAGCCCAAATAAGCAGGAAAATATCAGGTAAAGGTAGAGAGTTATGTATTCTGAGATGAAGAATATTTTGCAAGAATTGAAGGAAACTGAAATACAAAAGGAAGATGTAGAAGAGCATATACAGTGAATGTTAAAGGTACTGGATGTGTGCACTGCATAGAAAATGATGGAAATAATAAAAGTTGCGGGGTAGCAGTATTTGCTAAAGATGGGTTTCTTTTAAATAAAAAGGTAAAAGAAGAAGTGTGGAGAACAGGGCTCTGCTTTCATCAAAATCGCTTTGAAAAAATTCTTCAGAGATGGAGTTGGAAACCTGCTGTAGACACTTGAGGCCGAATTTTCAATATAGATAGCCATATAAGTAATACTTTTAGATAACTGGTTGTGAGAATTGTATTATTCCATTAAAAACTATTACAAATTGAAGGCCTCTGTTATTCCTGAATGTGGTAGTTGCCTAATTTATTTGCTGAATAACTGCTTTATCACCAAGAAGAGATACTTCTTTAGGCAATTAATGAGGAGTTATAGAAAACATGCTCAAAGAAAATAAGCCTGGATGAAATTATCAAAAGTGGTCTTAGTTTAAATTAAATAGCATGATAAGTAACAATAAAAAAAGGTGATATATCTTAGACTTTCATTCCAAAATGGGGAATTGTGGTAATCTAAGGGAACTGGTTAGTGAATTTAGATGGACTAACATGCTATTGGGTAGTTTTGGGGACTGGAGTAATGAAAATGGAGCAATATTAAACAATAAAAAGTGCAATGTTCTGCACTTTTACAATAATGATAATAATTTCTGTCAGGAGATGGGGGTTTATAAACAGAGAATAACTGGTAAGGAAAGCTCTTCAATGTAACAGGCAAAGATATTTCAAATATCAAAAGCTGCAAATTGGGCCTAGATAAATACAGGCTAAAAAAGAGGCACTTTTGATAGTGAGAGTAATTACTAAAATAATTTGTCAATGACTGAGGTAGATTTTTATCACTCTGATTTTTCTAATCGAGAGTAAACATTTTTCAAAATACAGATTTTGAACTCAAACTGGGGTTCAGAATATGCCTGGGGGTTATGCAGCATCATCCCTTACTAGAAAGGCAGTGGTCCGTGCCTCTTGAGAGAGACTTCTTTCCAGGTCTTGTTCCTTGTCGGGAAGTTCATTCTTGTTCTTGAATTCCAGGCACAAGAGTCACTTATTTACTATATTTATTTCTTGGGACAAGCCTGTCCTTAGCTATGTGCTTGTGTTAGATGATGCTTAATACCAGTCAAACCTTTTAAACCAGAAGAGAAGTTTAGAATAGTGAAGAAAAGTGTCAAAGCAGGAAATCAGAAAGTGTGAGTAGATCTCTCTAGATCGGGCTCAGCAAACAGGTTCCCTGTGTGCTTCAGCTACGTTAGGAGCTGATGAGCTATCCCTTGGGGGCAGCTGCCCCTTGGTGCTCTTCTCTTTCTCTGTTGAGTATGCAATCTGCTGTCCTCTCACCTTCTTACTTTACTCTAGCCTGGCTCATATTGTCTTTCGGGCTAAATATTTAAAGCGTGCTATCTCTTTCTCCCCTTCCTTAGAAGCTTCTGTAAGTTTACAGTACTGTTTTGCACTTCACGCGGGATGTGTTAAATAGCTGCCACCTTACTCCTAGTGGTTTCAAGGCTGATACCACATTTTTAAAGTAAAATAAGAAGTATTCACTGTAGAAACATCTTCTCAAACCACCTTTCTCTGTTAGCTCTTTGTGGAGAGTAAATGAGCAATAGTAATTACATGGATGTCAAATGAGTATCAAGAATGTGTTTTCCTCCAGCATTTGTCATTTTCGTGGTCTTGTATCAATTCTAGTTCAAGAACACAAGAAGAATGAATTCTTTCTTCTAATTCACAGAAGTACTTTGCTCTGTACCATACAGGAGGACTAAGATAACAAAATAGCCTCTTCCAGTCTTCTTCAGTTGGACCTCTTTCTCTGGATCATTTGGGTCAATTAAAATAATTTCAACAGAGGCAGATTTTCAGACTCTTCACCAGCTCTTAATAGCTCTAATAATCTTACTCAGAGCAGTATGGAAAAGGCAAATTGAACTCCATGGCACATTACAGGAGAGCCCTTGTGGCAGATCAAGTAGTGCTCGCTGCAAGCTGGAATTTCATAAAATTGACACAGCCCCCATTAAAAACTGGCTCACTGACAGATCTCAAAATTCAGTTGTTAATAAGGAAATATCAGTGGTTGGGCTGTCTATAGTAGGGTCTCATAGGAAAGTCTTGATCAAGAATACTGGTATTTTGAATGATTTCAGCGATGAATTTTTGTAGTAAAGTTGACAGATGACACAAAGACTGTTGGAAAGGGAGAGGCTGTATCTGCAGAGTAGTAATTTGCTCCTTCAGTAAAACTGGAGACACAAAAATTAAGAGGGGGGAAAAAAAGGAGGTGTGGGGGGAGAAAGCCTGTGGGTTATATTTCAAGGTGAGAGATTCTGCATAGTAAAGTAGTGATTTAGGGGAAAACTTAGATATTTTGTGTAGTATAAGATCTTAGCTATGCATCCCCTGAGCGTTGTCCTGAGATAAGTCTGCTTTTGGAAAGGAACACAAGTAGAAATCTGGAAATGTTCAAGCAGCACTGATAACACTGTTACAAAAATTTCCAGTCCTGGTGTCCACATTTCAAGATGGATCTGGAAACAATGGAGCAAGTTTAGAAGTTAAAGCTGAACAGATTATCTGTAGGTTGCATTTGCAGTATGCGGTATGAACTGTTCAGCATACTGAAGGCAAGTTTCAGAGGTGTCCTTAATCACTGCGTGTAGGTACTTGTGTCTGAAGAAGAGGTTTGATATATGCTGAAAGTTGGAGGCAAAGACTTGAACCTCAGAACAAAAAAAGATTCCCTAACACTAAGGAGAATGAAACATTTCCTACTAATAGGGGGAAAAAATAGTGGATTCAACATTGCTTGAGCACTGAGGCAAGGTACACTTTGATCCACCTCCTTGTGTTCTAGTTTAGCAGTGGGGTTGCTGTTATATAGATAAGTAGGGTTGCAAAATTAAAGGAAGAGGGTATCTGTTTGCGAGATGTGGCATATGTAAAATATGTTATATTATATATATGTGTATATACACACATGCATTATATACTTTTTTTACTCTGTGGATATGAGTTCTTGCGTTGGCCCCCTTCCCTTATGAGCCCTGCAGATATTGAAAACATTTGCAGTTCAGGAAGTACTTATTTTTTTTCCCCAGGAAAAAAAAAATGGTTTCCAGAGTCTGTTTAAACTTTCTGTGAAGCATACTGGGGACGGGATGGTGATCAAGTGACTCTGTGCTCTGTGGTCATACAGAAGATCCTTTGTGCAGCCTCACCGGTGTCTCTTGCTGTCAGGCTCAGGGTCACACCAGTAATTAGATTTGGAATCGGGGAGAATTTCCTCCCAAGCGAGATTGGCAGGGAAAAGGTATCTTAGGATATTTAGGAAATGTATCTTGCCTGTCATCGTAGCTGGCAAGTATGTTAATGATACTGTATCTTTCTGTGTGTCGGTCTGAGTTTTAGATTTTTGAGGTTTGAAAAATCCTCTTACTTAAGATTTAGGTTTTTTATAGAGCACTTGGGCGATCTGTGATGAGTTGCAGTATAAAGAAATCAAATCTGATGACCTAGGGTCCTTCTCCTATGAAATCAAAGTGCCTTGTTGTTTGTACCTTTCCCCTTTTCCATCTGCAGATGGACAGAGATGCTTCATTTTAACGTGCCAGATCATGAGAGAAAGACCAGCAGAGCTTTATTATTAACCCTCTTCATTCCACTGGGGACTAGGACATATGTCCTCTTGTGTCCACATTCTGACTCTCCAGTACAAGCTAGAAGAGAATCCTTGGTAAATTAATGAAGTTAAAATGCATCCTGACCTCTTTCATTTGTACCTTTTTCCCCTATAAACCAGTTAGGAGGAAAAAAACGAATTATCAGTGCCACCTGTACTTCAGGTGTGACTTTCATGGGAGGTCACTTAGACTTTGTGCCCTTTTGTAATTGTACAAAGTAAGAGAGTATATTCTGTAAGAGAATATATTTTTAAAACAGCTAATTTTTGTCTGCCCAGTGAGAGTGGTTTCCCTGTGTTTTTAAAGAAAAATAAGTTTGGAAAAGTTTAATTTTTAAATGACTTTCACTTGAAGAGCTTTCTATTTGGTGTATTAATCAAGCTGATGAAAGGACATTAGTAATCCTTAGGTGTGCTATAGTTGCATGAATTGAAGAAATCTGTGGTGAAAAGTTATTTTATTTTTGTTACACATTTTCAGTATGAATTGACAGAAAGCACCGCATATTGATTCCTTACAGCTGATAAACACATCTACTCCCAGACCTCATGGCTTGTTGACGAGCAATTTTTTACAAACATTTTTTTTCTGTTTACGATTTTTATGCTGGAAGGCAGTTTTTGTTTTTCGGGTTTTTTTTCCCTTCCTTTACCTTTTATACCTTTTATATCTATCTTATATCTGTTCACAAAGCGCAGGTGGGGATTGCATTACGAAGTAAAAAATTCATATTGGTAATTCTAGCAATTCGTATGGAGTAAGGGAGCCAAGTCATATATGATCCTTCACAGAATGAACAAACCAGAGATTTAATTATTCTGAATCTAATAAAAGAATATCAGATTTGTTGTTGTTTTAGTAAATAGGTTAAATTACACTAAAAATGTACAGAGTTATTTAAATATGTAATTATTATGGTTACTGTTTTTTTTAGTGAGAACTACGGTAATTGAAACAGATGTCTATGTTAACAGCATTGGCCCAGTTGACCCAATCAATATGGTAAGTTCTGATTATTGACAGAAAACATTATCTGAATGATGCTATGGGTTAATATTATGAAATAATTCTGATCTCATTCAAATAAGTTTCTTTATTTCTTACTGTGTATTCTTATGCTGTTGGGTATGATTGTGATTATTACAGAAACACCTTTAGACTTTCTATTTGAAATTGTTGTAATTTTTAAAATATATTTCTTCTTTAAAAAAACTGAGACCGCACAGAGAACATTGTATCAGGTCCTTATTTTGGTTTGTGTTGAACACTTTCACTATGTTTGTTTATACCTGGTTTATCTCTGGCCCAGTATAATTTCCTGGAGTGACTCTTCAGAGGTTAAGAAAAATAACAATTGACCCAGCATTTGTGAATAAAACTATTTTCAATGCAGCGATTTATTATTATTTTGCAAATTCATAAAAAGAAAAAATTGAAATTAACTCTTTTGTCCTCCTTTTTCCATGTCTTATTTAGTTTTATGCGTCCTCTTCAGTGTGTATACATAACTGGTTTCTTCAGAAGTTAAGCAATGCATCTCATCTAGTTTCCGGTAGACCTGTTGTGATCTGACCTATCTATTAGGTACCAACACTGAAGTAACAGCACTTATGAGGAAGTTGAGCCTGTGGCCTTTTCTTAAACCACTTAGATTTTCTGTCATGATGTGCATTGTATGAAATGGTGGTGTTGGAGGCTTTAGAAAGGCCTGTTGCATGACTGCTGCCCAGGACTAAGACTGGGACTGGCCCTCAGCTGAGTTTGAGCTTAGCGCCCTCCTGCCTTTTTCCTTTTCCTCCTCCCTACAGAATTGCTGACAGTGTTGAATTTGCATGCCAGAGAAGCCTTTTGTTCAATCTGAGGCTGGAGTATGCCAGCGCAGGGGGCTTATGAGCGTTTGGTGAAAGCACAGTAATTCTGGATTATTATTAAGGATCTTACACGTATGTCATCATGCTTGGATGGGGAATATCGACTTTCAGCGATGGAAAGCCAAGCAGGAAAAACTAATGGTTCTTAGATACTATGGATAAAGGTGCCAAAAGTAGATGATGCAGATCTGTGGCAAAGGCTATTCATTCCAGCATAATGGTCTAACAAGCGTAGGGTTGTCATTACCTGGGGCTGTGGCAGGGAAGTCTATGTCTCAGGCCAGAGCTGTACGTAAAGAAATGCACGAAAGAGCAGAAGAGTGATGGGGTGGGGGAAACTTTTCAGTTTCCATGCCCAGTATAAGTGGTGTCTTTGGTTTTGTCTGTCTTCCTGCTGCAGTCTCTCTCTCTTGCTTCTCTCCATCCTATCCTCTTCTGAAGGAACTTATTGTGGGAGCAAAATGTGTAGACAGGCAGCTACCTGTAAGGAGGATATAGCAAATGGTAGAGGCTCCCTTTTCCGTTAACCGATGTAAGTCCTTCAGCCTGTGGCCAGTAGGTATTGCATACACTGGAACTGAAAATGAGAAACGCTTACAGCTTCAGTTTTCCAGTTTTAATGAACCAGCATGTGGCTGGCTTTGCAGGGTAGCCCTGCCCCATCTCCCATGCCCTATTCTTGTCTCTGCAGCCCCTGGGCAATCTCCCTGCTGCTATGTACCATGGCCTCGCCTGTGCCCACAGCTGCCTTCTGCTTGCTCAGCCCAGGGCCTGGGAGGCAGCATTATCATGCACCGCACTTGCAGTAATGACAGTATCAGCCGTGGGACTATTTCATGTCACTCCTTTAGAGGTCTCCCCACATCTGCTAGAGCTCTCCTAGAGCTGGGGGGTGATGCTTTTGCCATGGCGCTAATAAAAGCCCGTCATACTGGCTTTTAGTCCAAGGTAAGGATAGCATCGTGTTGAAAAGGCATATTACTTCATTAGAGAGCAGGATCCGAACGGTTATAATGTACATCAACTGAATGTTTATCCCTCTCACCTTCTGATTTCTGTTTAAAAAAAAGATAACAATGAAGCATGTCACCAAAGGGTAATAAGGTAAATGTCATTAAGACATAGAACTTCAAAAACTATTCTATGTTTTTTAAAAATGCACAGAGAACTACTTAGCAATTTAAATTACAGTCTAAGGGCACTATGGCCTTCATAAAAGAGCAATTGCTTTCACTGGGCTTGGACTCCAGGAACCTGGATCATATGAGCATCTAACATCACTACAAAAATCAAATGTTTGTGAAAATAAATAAAACCATATATATGCAAATAATTTGATTAAGGAATGAAAAAAAAAGATGTTTTTAATCTGGGAAACAGCATTCTCAGCAAAAAAATAATTAGAGATTTGACCCTGTAAGCTCGCTTTATGTGAGCGGTTGGTTTCATTAGGAAGGCACTTCCCCTGGAGTCAATATTGTTTGAGATTGTTAACCAATAATCCAAAAATTGCTTCTATTTCAAGAGCTGTCCTTAGCCCTTCATTTGATCACTTAATGTGAGAACATGTATCTGTGATTCCCCATTGGATTACTCATTTGCCAGATACATTAATTCACTCTGGCAAATGAGGTCTTTTAACTATTTAGTTTGGATACAATATGGATACAAATTGGATACAATATGTAGAGAGTGTTTTTTCTAACAATGATGCTGAAGCAGCAGATCAAGGGAGTATGTTTGTTTGAAAGCTTCAGAAGACACGTATGAGAGGAAACGGATTTATTTTTATAATTCAGTCTATTTTCCTCTTACTATCTGATAGACTTTCACTTTCATAAACGGGATGCTTTAAGTGTATGTATGACATTCATTAGAATTTGTTTTTGAAGGTTGTTGTGTTTTGGCTTTCACCATTTAACAAAGGTCTACACAAAATTCTAGATGGTATAAACACCCCATGCTTAAGAGCTGTTCTTCTGCAGCATGTGATCTCTTTAGGTGTCTGCAACCTGAGTAAACATTTTTAACAAACGTCTGGATCAGTGGAGTATTTAGGCTTCTAATACTCATTAAGTCTAAAGATTTTTGCATCTGTCCTTTAGAGCTAACCTGTGCTATGCATCATGCAACAATCACATAAAATGCAGCTAAGTTCATTTTTATGGCCGAAGTCTTGATCCTCAATAGCTCTGCAGTGGTCTAGGGATTTCTTAGCAGAATTTACACGTGATGAATATTTAGAGCCTGGTTTTCCTCTATGTGGAAGCTCATTCAGTTGAGCACTTAATGTAGATGTACTAGGCTCTTACTGCCTTTATCTTTCCTTCCAAACTAGGACCAAGATGAAAAAAAACCACTCTGTTTGGTGGTACAAGTAGCAGAAGCTGATATATGGTCCCTGTGTAGAAATGCATGTTGATCCATGTTGCCTGCGGGCCTCATTAGCTTTCTCTGTCCTGTATTCATCCCCCAAACCCTATGTGTTCATAAATACATAACTCTTTGTGCTACTGGTACCCCAAGGGGTCCAGGGGAGAACCATGCCAGTGCCACAACTTTTGTGGTCTGACAAGACCATGCAAGTGTGCAATTCAGTGGGTTGGGAGAGGCATGGCAGCACTCCAAGACATTTTTACCTTCCTTTAACTAAGAGAATACCTGATCTTGTAATCTCTGTTTGATCAAAACTCTCATGACAATAAAAGACTGCTACCCCAAATGAGAGAAATTTTTGGAGAAGGAATACAGGAGCAGTTCCTTAAGTAAGAAGCAGTATTGCGTCATTGTGCCAAAGATGAAGAGCAAAAAGAAAAGTTTTTACTTTCCCTGTCCTTAGACGTTGACTATTTGATCAAGTTCCATATAGTAAATAGTGGAGCAATAGTCAAGTAACAAAAATGGGGAAAGGGTTAGAAAGAGGCAGATCATTTCTGTAGAGACGCATAGACATCATGACTGATAGATTAAAAACTAGCCAAAAGAAAATGCTCTACCTCTGTCTATATCTGTCTGTGTGTAAGTGTATACATATATAAATATGTATGTTTACAGAAACAAAATTATGTTTTAAAATTCCTTTGCTCTTTCATGTGTTTCCAAGTCATGATTTAACGTTTTGAAACGTTATATTATCATTGCCATTTTAGTGTGTTTGAGGGCTACATATTTTTTTCTTCCCTTGCTGTGGATGCAGATGATGTTCTCTATTCAGCTTTTGTATTTATTAATGGAACTCAGTATTAGAAGGATCAGTCTGAAAATTCCAGGATAAATTTCTAGGACTGCACTTCACTGAAACAGTTTGGTTTCCTTGTTATTTCCCAATATTTCTGTTTCTTCTGCAGATGATTTAGCTTTTGTCGCACAATCTTTGCTAGTTATCCAATGAAGGCTACCGTGACTGCAAGCTGAAGGCCATTCTTTGAAGCCTAGCACTCTTATTTTTAACAAGATAGCTAAACCACTGAGCAAATCAGATATTCACAGAATACACAAGGTGCTACTTTGGTACACAGACTGCACAGCCTGGACACTGTTAGGATACAATTTTTCCTGTCATATTGTACCATTTATGACTTTGTGTAGAATGTGCTGATGGTGAATTTTAAGTATCCTTTGACTTCTAAATTCCATTTCATTTTCAAGTTGCAGTAACTAGCAGCAGATTTTTTAATTATTTTTTTTTAAGGTATTCAAGTATCAATGTGATCAGTATCCTAATACAGATTACTCAATGTTATTGTACTTGTGGAGGGTGCTTTGCGGTCAGGTGTGTCACTGCACTTATTCTTGCGGTCAGGTGTGTCTCTGCACTTATTCTACTAGTCACTAAATTTGTATTGAAGGTTTGAAGGTTTTGTACTCTTACTTTACAGTGCCAGGTAATTTACATTAAGCACACTAGAATATAAATAATCATGACCCAAAGTTACATTATCTGAAGCTACCCTGAAATCCAGTACTCAAAGATGCACACTCTTTGTGTGCATTATTCTGTAAATCAATGTATTTTTAACTGTTTTTGAATGATATTAAATGTTTTGTTACTGAGCAAATAGTAACTAGTATAAAGGAAAGATGAGGCTTAGAAAGAGACAAAAATAGATACTGGAATTAGCAAGGCCCTGA